TGAATATTACTAGGGTGTACTGCAGCTGTGTAACAGTGTGCTACTTGGTTCACATACTCCACCTCTTCTGTTTGTTTTCCAAAGCTCACTTCTGATGCTCACAGCATTGAGATGCCCTTTTGAAAGTTAATTGGATATTAACATAAGCAATAAACAGTAAGCCAAAGTGAATGGATTCTTTTTAAACTTTCAAACAACTATTTTAATGGAAATGTAAACCCAGCTGTATCAAGGCTACCTTGGCCTACTTGAAATGGCAGCATAAAAGTAGGTGTCATGGCAACAGGGCAGCTTTATGCTATGTCTATGACTAGTAAGGCAGGATGAAAGACGTCCCGCACTATTATTCATTATGTTCATCTAAACAGCATCTAGCGACAACGTAAAGTGGCACTTGACTCTCTTCTAATTTCCAGTGTCTTTACCCTGTTTTCCTTTATGTAAAGAGGTTGGGAGGCGAGGGTTTGAGTGAAATGCTCAATAAGTAGATTTCCCACAAATCTAAATGTATTGAGATACTATGTTCCACAGATTTGTTTGCTTTTGTTACGATCAAATGTATTGCGAATGTAGACTTTTATAGGAGTAATAAATATAGGACTCAATTGAATAAAGCTTTTATTTATTGTTTTTATTATTTGGAGCAGAACTTGTGACTCTATAATGCAACGAAGAATACCCTCGCTATTAATCTTAAGAGGGCTTCAGAAATTTGGCTCGGCTACCAAGTAGCTTAATAACCTGCAGCATATTATTTCTTTGACTTGTACAAATGCCCCTTTATGGTTTTTATACATGGTTAACTAAACTATACAAGAAAGTTACTGCCAATGGGAGAAATAAAATCTTAAAACCTCTTATCAGACTGCTATGAGAGGAGTCGATGGTATGTTTCTCATACAGATAACAGCAGTACTGAACTATAAGGTTTGGCATCCACTCCATACAAAGAGTTACTTGCTGCAAGGGGAAGGACGTTGCGATGGCCTGGCTGATGCGTGCCTTAATCGGTTGTCACCTGAATGCTATGCGTACTGTCGATAGACGCCTCTTACGTACAGATTTGACATTAGCCGGTCTAAAACTCTCATTCTCATTCCGATGTGCTATAGAACACTGCCTTGTTGTTACAGTGAATTGCTTCGACTCTGCATTTGCAGCTCTTTATAGTAAAACAATACTCATACAGACTCCAAGCACCCAGACTACTTCAAATCCCTGAAAGTGTCATGGTGCTTGGAGTAACTATTTAACCTAATAGAAATATAGAAACATAGATTGTGACAGTAGATAAGAACCATTCGGCCCATCTAGTCTGCCCAATTTTCTAAATACTTTCATTAGTCCCTAGCCTTATCTTATAGTTAGGATAGCCTTATGCCTATCCCACGCATGCTTAAACTCCTTTACTGTGTTAACCTCTACCACTTCAGCTGGAAGGCTATGCCATGCATCCACTACCCTCTCAGTAAAGTAATACTTCCTGATATTTTTAAACCTTTGCCCCTCCTATTTAAGACACTGTCCTCTTGTTGTGGTAGTTTTCTTTTTTTTAAATATGGTCTCCTCCTTTACTGTGTTGATTCTAATTTAAGACTATAACCTTGGACTATTTCACCAAAGAGTGCATATTTAAGAGCATGATGTGTAGTTCTTTGTCAATCAATTTGGCATCAAAAGGTTTCAAAGTGAAGGTAGGCAGGCTATTCTATTGGAAGGGAACCACCTGCGAGAAGTCCTGCAAGTGTGAGTTGGCCGTATGTCTGGATCTGTGAAGAGATAGAAAAGGGGCTAGAGTTGGTCAATGCATTATAGGTATGGGTTAGCCCTTTGGCTTCCTGTATCCTATAGGAGTCAATTCAATGTAAAGACTGACAGAGGGGTGAAGTGTGAGAGGACCAACTAGAGAGGAAAATTAGTCTGGCGGCAGCATTCATTACAGACTGTAGTGGGGCAATACGGTTTTTGGGAAGACCAATTAGGAGAGGGTTACAATAATCCATGCGGGAAATTAGTAGAGCATGGAAAAGCTCCTTAGTAGGATCTTGCGTAAGAAAGCGGCGGGTGCAGGCTATGTTTTTAAGATGGAATCTACAGGACTTGGTAACATGCTGGATGTGAGGCTCAAAGGTGATGCCAGAATCAAGAATGACACCAAGACCTCACGCTTGCAAGGATGGACTGATATGAATACCACTAACTTGAAGGAAGTGTGAAAGAGGAGGATCAGTATCAGGAGGAGGAAAGACAAGGAGCTCAGTTTTAGAGAGATTTGGTTTCAGAAAGCGGGAGGACATCCAGTCAGATGGAAGAAAGGCAAGCAGTGACACGTTGCAGGACGGCAGGGGAGAGGTCTGGGGAGGAGCGGTATATCTGAGTGTTGGCGAATGTTGTGCCTGTTCACAAGAAATTTAGTGGGGAGGAGTCTGGCAACTATATTCCAGTAAACCTTACTTCAGTAGTGGGGAAAGTAATGGAAACCATGTTAAAGGATAGGATTGTTGAACATCTAAAAACACATGGATTTCAAGATCAGAGACAACATGGGTTTACTTTCGGGAGATCATGCCAAACTAATCTTATTGATTTTTTTTTTTTTTTGATTGGGTAACTAAAATAATAGATCAGGGTGGTGCAGTAGACCTTAACTAGATTTCAGTAAGGCTTTTGACACTGTTGCTTATCAATAAATTGCAATCTTTAATTTTGGATTCCAATATTGTTGAATGGGTAAGGCAGTGGGCTGAGTGACAGGCAACAGAGGGTTGTAGTCAATGGAGTATATTCGAAGCATGGGCTTGTCACCAGTGGGGTACCTCTGGGATCTTTACTTGGACCCATTCTCTTTAATATTTTTATTAGTGATATTGCAGAAGGTCTTGATGGTAAGGTATATCTTTTTGCTGATGATACTAAGATATGTAACAGGACTGATGTTCCAGGAGGGATAAGCCAAATGGTTTAGGTAAACTAGAAAAATGGTCAGAGTTGTGGCAACTGACATTTAATGTGGATAAGTGCAAGATAATGCATCTTGGACCTAAAAACCCAAAGGCAGAGTACAGAATATTTGATAGAGTCCTAACCTCAACATCTGAGGAAAGGGATTTAGGGGTGATTATTTCTGATGACTTAAAGGTAGGCAGACAATGTAATAGAGCAGCAGGAAATGCTAATAGAATGCTTGGTTGTATAGGGAGAGGTATTAGCAGTAGAAAGAGGGAAGTGCTCATGTCGTTGTACAAAACACTGGTGAGACCTCACTTGGAGTATTGTACGCAGTACTGGAGACCGTATCTTCAGAATGATATTGATACCTTAGAGAGAGTTCAGAGAAGGGCTACTAAACTTGTTCATGGATTGCAGGATAAAACTTACCAGGAAAGGTTAAAGGATCAAAACATGTATAGCTTGGAGGAAAGACGAGACTGGGGGATATGATAGAAACATTTAAATACATAAAGGGAATCAACACAGTAAAGGAGGAGACCATATTTAAAAAAAGAAAACTACCACAACAAGAGGACAGTGTCTTAAATAAGAGGGGCTTTAAAAATATCAGAAAGTATAACTTTACTGAGAGGGTAGTGGATGCATGGCATAGCCTTCCAGCTGAAGTGGTAGAGGTTAACACAGTAAAGGAGTTTAAGCATGCGTGGGATAGGCATAAGGCTATCCTAACTATAAGATAAGGCCAGGGACTAATGAAAGTATTTAGAAAATTGGGCAGACTAGATGGGCCGACTGGTTCTTATCTGCCGTCACATTCTATGTTTCTATGTGTCATCAGCTCACAGGTCGTAGTGGAATCCAAAAGAGGCAATACGTTTGCCGAGCAAGGCAGTATAAAGAGAAAATAGAAGGGGACCAAGGACAGAGCCTTGGGGACTCCAACCGAGACAGGACGAAGGGAGGAGGTATCATTAGAAAAGTAGACCGTGAATGAGTGTTGGGAGTGATAAGAGGAAAACTATGAGTGGACGGAGTCGCAGAGAACGAGTGATTGAAGAGTTTGAAGAAGAGCATGATCAATGGTGTCAAAGGTAGCATGAAGGTCAAGAAGAATTAGCATGTACTAGTGACCTTTAGATTTAGCTGCGATTAGGTAGTTAGTAACTTTTATAAGAGTAGTCTCAGTAGAGTGGAGGGGGTGGAATCCAGACTGAAGAGGGTTGAGTGAGTTGGAATTGAGGAAGTGAGACATACAGGTGAAGACAACCTTTCCAGAAGCTTTGAGGAAAAAGGGAGCAGGGATATGGGACGATAGTTAGAGGGGGAGGACAGGTTAAGAGATTTTTTTTTTATTTTTTTTTCAGTATAGTTACTACAGTGGCATGTTTAAAGTCAGCAGGGACAATGCCAGAGGAGAGAGAGCAGTTGTAAATGTGTGTTAAGGAAGGCCCAAGAGAGGGGGAGAGAGATCTGATAAGGTGAGATGGGACTGGCTCAAGCATGCAAGTGGTGGGGCGAGAGGACAGGAGAAGAGCAGCCACCTCTTGTTCAGTAGCAGGGGAGAAAGTTTGATGGGTAGGAAAGGCATGATCTATGTGTGGTTAAGAAAGAGGCAGGCTGGGGAGAATTCTTTCAATCTTGTCGGTAAAGTAGCATGCAAAGCCATCGACTGTAAGGTTACTTTGAGGGCTGGCCACAGCAGGGCAAAGAAGAGCGTTAAAGGTGTCAAATAGACGCCTGGGATTGCGAGAGCATGAACTAATGAGAAAGGAAAAGTATGACTGTTTGGCAAGGGCTGCGCTTCATCCAAGAGAGTTTAGCACAACGGGAGCATCTTATTTACTTTTAAGCCCTTCTCCCCTGGTCTGTTAACTGAACCTTTTTTTTAAAAAATTGACAATTATTTATTTTATCAGTAACGTATTCAGGGTACAGAAAAGAATGGGATTATAGTTTAATGAGATTAGATTTGTACAGTCGCTCCTTATACAGGGGGAGGGTACATAACAGAGGAAGAGGGGTGGAGTGAGGGTCTATCACAGGTTGATACAGACAAGCATTTTTAGTAACATTAGATCCACATTATTTCCAGTTCAGAGCGACAATATGTCCCCACAATAGCATGTCACACGACACATGACAACATATCAACATCAGCATCCCACGGGTGGCTGTGGGGGTGTGAGTAAGCCTATGCAACTTGGGTGTGTTAAGGACATTGCAGCTTATTTGCGAGGTACAGCCCCTGGTGCTTTACCAGGTACATTACCAGATCTCCATGTTTGCCATAGCTCCCAAGTTTTCCTATAAAGCGTAGGGGGGGACGTGTAGAAGGTTTCGTAAATCCACTGCTTATGCAATTCCTCTACAAGGTTTTCCTTCTTGGGAAGGATCGTGGACTTCCATCTCCTTGCTATCAATTTCTGCGCCATCAAGGCTATGTGTAAGGTCAATTTTCTAGCGTGTTGGGGTATTTCTCTCGGGAGATCCAGCAGTAGACACACCTGTGAGTTGAATGGGGGAGAGCTTTGTGTGGCTTCTCGGATCAATGCAGCTCCACCATATATGGTGCATTGTGCCCTCTGCTGCGTGGCATCTCCAGCAATGTGGTTAGGTGGAGGGGAAGATCTTATGCAGTCTGGTTGGCACTAAGTACCACCGGTATAAAATTTTACGGTGTTGTTCAATGTGATAGGTGTATTTTAGTAGCTTTAGAGGGTCAGATAGGATAGTGTCCCAGGATGTGGGTGGCACTGCACAGCCTAGATCGCTCTCCCATTGTTGGGCATATTTTGTGGTGGAGAAGTGATTGTGTTTCGTTATGGAGCTGAGACACATGGGATCGGTTTAAATTGAGGTAGTAATCTTGCAGTTATACACATTTGTTCCCATGCAGTTAACCTATTAGCATCTCTAGAGGTGTCTAAGAAACGTTTTGCTTCTTTAGAGAAATAGGAGTGTAGTTGAAGGTACAAGGACTGGGAGGACTGTGGGAGTGCGTATTTGCTGGCTAGGCTCGTGTAGTCTAGTAGTTTATGGGCATCAAATAGGTGGTAAAGGTGCGTCGCGCCTCCTCGGTGCCACGGTAGGGCATTAAACCTAGGTCTGTACTTATCCCATATTTGAAAGAACAGCAGTATATGGCGGGGGAAGTGTCGGCAAGTCAGGCCTGAGGTGCGGTGGTGTCCAAAGCAGGTGCAGGATGTCGTGGTTATCCAATTGATCTCGCTCTAGGGAGACCCATTGTGGGGGATAGCTGTGGCTAGTACTGCCGCATAATAGTAGCCCTGGACATTGGGTAGTGCTAAACCTCCCTATTTCTTGGGGGCCTGTAAGACCTTCGCGGTTACTCTGGTTTTGCCTCCCGCCCATACAAACTTCCCCCATATCAGCCTGAATGGTCTTAAAGTAGGTGTGAGGGAGGCGGAGGGGAATGGTGCGAAAGAGGTACAGTAGCGTCGGTAGTATTGACATTTTGAGTGTCACGATGCGGTCTGTCCAGGACAGGTACATTAGTGACCATTGTTTCAGTAGCTGACTGCACTTGTTCCAAACTGCAACATAATTTGCTGACACATGGTTTGCAGGATTTTTAGTGATCGTCAGGACTAGGTAGCGTATGGATTCAGTTCTCCAGTCAGTCGTGTGTGTGTGTGTGTGTGAGGGTGCGTAATACCGGGGCAGGGATGCCCAAAGACGGGGCCTCTGTTTTGGCCGCATTAACTAAATAGTATGAGAACTGTCCATAGGTGTGTATTATCTGCATTAGTGTAGGTAGGAAGTCTAGTGGGTTTGTTACGTACAGCAGTACGTCGTCTGCGAATGCGCTAATCTTAATATGCTTGTCCCCTAGATGTATTCCCTTTTATCTTCTCATTTGAGCGTATGCGGTGCAAGAGGGGTTCTAGTGCAAGGACGTATAAAAGTGGGGATAGGGGGCACTCCTGTCTCGTCGACCAGGCCTCCCAAGCTACATTAGGAAAATACGCCGCAGCCAGGGTATACATTGCGTTATTAAACATGCCCACGAGGACGATAAACCTGCCCTTAGGATCCACGATTTTTCTATAGAGTGTAAGGGATGTGTCCTTTATGGATGAAAATTTAGACTCCTTTAGTTTTGGTATCAGAAAGGGTGTGGAACTGGGTCTGGTAGTATTTGTTATATATATTTTTTAAAATGGGTCTCCTGGACACATGCAACGTCAACTCTCTCTTTTTTCAGGTCTCTGAGTAGTAGACTCCGTTTACTGGAGGTGTTAAGCCCCTTGACTTTAAGGGTCGTAATTTTCATAAATGGCTAGGTGTATGGTTGCTGCGGTGGTGGCCCAGGGGTATGGTGTCCCTGTGGTTGGTGCTATGTGGAGTATTCGGCTCTTGTCATAGCATTGCAACATAGGACTACATGTCCTCTTTGGTGGAATTGGTGATGCCTGGTGGTAATGGGAGGGGGGAGGTGGGATGTAACTATAGGAGGAGGGGAAAATTCTGCAACTGCCAGTTAGAAAACGCTCAGCAAGTCTGAGCAAAAGTGTGGTCTGGTTCTCCCAGACCCACACGGAGTGGGGGGCGGCTTCGAGTGTCTCCATACAGTAAATAGTCACTCTGGTCTTAGGGCCCAGTCGGGGCTGCTGGGAAGCCATTGGTTTAGTGAGGCAGCATTTCTCATGCCATGACTGTGCTGCAGCGTACGCCCAAGCTTACAGTGGTGTGATCCACTATTAAAGAAGTGTTAAGGCTGACCGCAGGTCACGGAGGCAAAGTAAACGTGAGAATTCTTGACCATAGAAAAACATGTATATAAACCTGAAAATATTAAACAATAAGACATCTCTCTCAAGCGAGGATATATAGTGTGTATTTAAGATACCCACCTTGGGTGGGCGTCCTTCTCAGGGTATGTCCATGTTTTGCCAACATGGGCCCTTCTAGGGTGATTAGCAATCAAATCGTAGCGTGTGTTGGCTATAAACAGCTGTATGTACTACTCTGAGGTCTAGCCCTAGTGGAGTAGATATAGAAACCTTGAGTCGTCGCATATGCTAAGGAGTAGTATGTGCCTTGGTATGAGGTGCCCTACAACTAAAGGGTCTCCACTTTGAAGCGTGACTATGCTCAAGTGCCATACAATTGTTATTTTTATTTGTATTTTTTATATATATATTCTCTATATTCTCTCTCCCCCTCTCCCTCCCTCCCTTCTGCTATACATTCTTGTGAGTGGTCATGATCGGGCAATGTCGGGTTCTAACCTTAAAATCTAGCGCATTATAACAAAGTGTACAGCTCGCATGAAACATAAGTGTCATAAGCATCTCTCTAGTAAGAACATAGAATGTGCACTGGTATACAATACCCTACACGGGAGGACCTTCTGCCCTTAGTCGGGAGTCCATTCCGACGTCCGTTTGGAGACTTTAGCCGGTGAAGACGCCAGAGGCATAGGTAGTGGTATACCCCAGTCCTGTAGCTTTTTTAGGCCATCCGTTTGTCGCCAAGGCATGGATCACCCCCTGCTTCTGCACCAACAACTTCACCGGATATCCCCATTGGTAGCTGATATTGTTGGATCGGAGCGTGGTAGTGATCAGGGACATCGATTTTCTAAACTGCAGTGTGGCAGCTGACAGGTCTGCGAAGACTTTGATGTTAGCATATGGTTCAGGAAGGGAGGTATTCCTACAGGCTTTTGTAATGCGCTCTTTCACGTGGTAGAAATGGATGCGTGCAATTACATCCCTCACTGTAGTGGCAGGTAGGTGGTTAGGTCTGCGCAGGCGGTGGGCTCTATCGATTACCAAGAGGTCTGGGTGGGTAGCTGGGATTAACTCCTGGAACCGGTCGGTCAGGTATTTGTGCAGTTCTGTGGCCTGAACTGATTCTGGTATACCTCTGAAACGAAGATTGTTCCCTCTGGATCTATCTTCCAGATCTGCGACTTTGCGTTTCTGGGTCTCTAACGAGGTCTCCAGTTCTTGTAGCTTGTCTGCAAGGCTGTTATGGGCCACTGCAAAGTCATCCAGTGATTTCTCTACATGGGCTGTCCTGCTCCCAATCTCTAACAGCTCCTTTCTGAGATCTGTGGTGAGCTCATGCATCTGCACTTTAATGCTTGCCTGCAGTTTGTCAGAGAGCTCTGCCATCAGGGTTCTCATCCCTGCAACTGTGAGGGGGCCTTCCTCTGAGGCTGAGCTCGGTGAGGGTGGAGGGGATGGTGAAACCTCGCCTGAGCGCTGGTAGCCGCCATCTTGGGCCTGGTCTTCCCAGTTTTTTCCTGCCGGAGCTTGTGTGAGGGAAAAAAGAGGCTTTCTCCGTTCTGGGGGTCTTCCCTTTGCTTCTATGTGCCATGGTGGGGTGAGTATTCTGATTGCTGCCGTTGGGCGGCTAGTAGTGCCGGTTATTTGTGCCCCTAAAGACCTGGGCTGCGGGAGCTTCACATAAATGCGACCGGTCCCGCCAAGCCCCGTTAACTGAACTTTAATCACATACAAATCAATGACAAGCAGTTCCAAAGCAGGAGATGCATTTAAATTAAAACACACTGCAATATGGGAAGTTTCTAAGCTAAACCTATTTAGGGAGGCTGTAAGAGTCAGGGCAGGTGTATATGCAGGGCTATATAAAGGGAATTAACTCTTAAATGGCAGTGTGATTGCAGGAGCATGTACTCAGAAACCACTTTAATAAGCTAAAGTTGTTTGGTGCTTAGCCTCCACGATCATATCCATTTTAAGGTCTATGAAATCAACCTTTGAGACAGCAAGTAGGAAGAACCTGCCAGTTTCTATGCATTATGCCAGTTTCATTTAAGAATATTTGCATTTTAGCATTGTTCCTTATGGTTTTTAAAACAGGCTAGAGTACTGCATTCTTTTCATCTGATTAGTCTAGTGTTCAGAATGGGAATGGGTGGTAAAAGGAGAGAAATTGGCACATGTAGCCTAGGCATTGTAAATTTGATATGTTATTTCAGAGATTAACTTTAGAAGAATTTTCATACACAGAGTACGGAAGTATATAAACACTTCTCACAATCTTGATCTTTACAAGGTCACCAGAAGAGAGCAGCTAATCCCTTTTTGTAAAGTAATTTGAGCGGAGGGAATTTAAAATGCAAAATATCACCTGCAGAGAAAACCAGAGCTGTAAAGAATTATAAGTTTTAAGCACTCCTCCTACAGTGAATGTAAAGAGTTTAAGTCGGGTAAAAAGCCAATGTATGTGTAATAGGAGAGACCTGATACTTCAGTATCTGATTCACAGTCTTCAACCAGTTGGCTGCTTCTTCTCACAAAAAGGGTGTGTGTGTTTTATCTATTTATACATGTATATACAGACCCCTACCTCTAGATTTTGCATGCAAAATAAAGTAGAAGTAAAATACTTTTTTTGCATTGGATATAGGAGCATTTTGTAATGGCAAGTTTTTAGGGAGAATCTCACTAGATCACATCTATTTAAAGCATTTAACCCAAGTGTTCGACTCTATCGAGATGTACATGTATGTAAAATGTAGGAGCTAGCTATGGGTACATCAGTGAAGATTTATTGAACATAGCACAAAATAAACTACAGGGAATTTGTGTAGCCAGATTTACTGCCTCTATTTGAGTCTTCTTAAATTTCACAATGTTGGTGCTGTATTGAAACGTTAAATTGAAATCTCAAAGACTTTTTTTTTTTTTTGCCTCTGGTGTAAAGTGTATCAAGTATGATGTATTATGGCAGAGAAGTTGAAATATTTAAAATCTGTAAAATAATGCTAGTTTGTTTTTAGAAGGGATTTCAAGGAACGGTCGTTAAACCCAAGATTTGATTTTGTTAATGTGAACTAGTACTAGCCCTGGCTTGTAGCTTAGTGTGTTGCACTTTTTGTTGTTGTTGTTTTCTTATATACACAGATTGTGGAAGATGTATTCTCACAACTTAATAATTAAAGGGACACTATATGCACCCAGATCACTTCATCTCATGAAGTGGTCACTGTCCGTTTCATTATCGATGCAATGTAAAACATGTTAGACGCTAGAGGTTCTTCCAGTTTCATAGCCTTTGACTCTGTGAAATGATGCTGGACGTCGTCATGCTTTGCATGAGGACATCCAGCATCATGCAAAATACCATAGGATCAATGATTTCCTATGGGGAAGGCTTATTGAGCATGTGGCACTTGCACATGTTCATTACGTGCCACACCATCAGCTGATCGTGGAGAAGTGCGCCTCAGTGCTGAGGGACATTGACACTGGAGGGACACTATAGTGTTAGGAA